CATAAGAGCTAAGTATGACAGATATTGACAGGGTGGGCTTCCTAGGATGATTTCTGAGCCAACAGTCTAAGACATTTTGTTGATTTCAGTCCCACTTAGCTAAGACCTCAAATATAAATAATTCTGATAATTATGGACAAAACAGCTGCTATTTTATACTGTTTCATTTTTTTTTAGAGACAGGATCTTGCTCTGCCACCTAGGCTGGAGTTGGCAGTGGTGTAATCACACCTCACTGCAGCCTTGAACTCCTGGGCTCGAGTGACCATACTGCCTCAGCCTCCCAAGTAGCTGGGACTACAGGCATATGTCACTTGGCTAATTTTTAAAAATTTCTTATAGAGATAGGGTCTTGCTATGTTGTCCAGGCTGATCTTGAACTCCTGGCTTCAAGCAATCCTCCTCCTGCCTTGGCCTCCCAAAGTGCTGGGATTACAGGCATGAGCCATTGCACCCAACCTATTTTATACCAATTATGTAAAAAAACAAACAAACAAGAAAACCAGTTTTATAACTATAAGAATAATTTTCTGACTCAGTATATTTTTTTTAAAAAGAGGTATGTAGGGCCTTTTGCGAAGTGATTAAGTCATGAGGGCTCCACCCTCAAGAATGCAATTAGTGTCCTTGCAAAAGAGGCTGAAGGGATCTGCCTTGCCCATTCCACCATGTGAGGACGCGGCAAGAAAGCACCATCTTTGAAACACAGAGCAAGCCCTTACCACACACCACCTTGACCCTAGACTTACCAGTCTCCAGAACTGTAATAAATTTTTGTTATTTTATAAATGACCCAGTTAGTGGTATTTTGTTATAGCAGCTCTAACAGACTAAGACAGTGTTGTTGATATGATCACTATCATTATCAGCATTAGTATACAGCTCAAGGGACATTTCTTGTGGATAAACAGCAAATCTTAGAGTACTGTTGAGTTCTTAATAGCTGAAGTTTTCAAATTCTATAAGGAATTTCATGATAAGAATGTTTTCCATTCTTTCAGGTATCAACTTTCTTATAGCCATGTCTAAGGAAAACATAACATACAATATTGATTCAATATTGATTGAATGCCCACTACATGACAAACACTTTTCTAGGAATTGGGAATACAGTAGTGGATAACACAGACACAGTACCTTCCTTCATGGATCTTACTTTTTAATGAAAGAGACTAACAAAGAGAAAACTAAAATCTAAATACTATCGGCTGGTGAAACATGCTTTGTATAGTATTAGAGATAGGAGATATTTAAACATAGTAGTCAAAGAAAACTTCTCTGAAGAAAAGTATCATTTGAATGAAACAGGTTGGGGAAGGATCTATCCCAGGCAAATATTTGAGAGAACAATCAAGTCAGAGGAAACGGCAAGTGCAAAGACCCTGGGGCAGGAATAAGCTTAGCCTATTTGAGAACTAGCAAGAAGGCCAGAATGGCTATAGGAGAAGGAACAATAGGCAGAATTTTTAACAGATATAGTTAGAAACTAATGAGGGAGAAGATTGTGTAAGTAAGGGCTTTTAGGACTTATTATGGAGTTTGGATTTTATTCTAAGAGTGATCACAAATCATGGTAGGTTTTGAGGAGGTGGATCACGAGTTTTCATTTACATTTTAGGAAGGTCATTCAGACAACTGTGTAAAAAATAAATCATGGTGGGCCAAGTATAAAAGCAAGGAGATCTATTGTGAGGCTATTGTGGAGTCCAGAGGAGACACAGAAGGTCACTTGGCTGAGGGTAGAGATGAAAATGATTGGAAGTATCAGATTCTGGATCTATTTTGAAGGTAGAGATGATCAAAAGTATTGAACGACTAGATGTGTTCAAGGAATCAAGGATGAAACTTGAGTATTTGGCCCAATTAATTGGGTAAGTGGAATGGTGGTGCCACTTACTGAGGTGGGGATGCTGAGACAAGGGTCTAGTTTGATGGGGCATGCACTACATTTGGACTTGTCCAATTTAGATGCACAATAAATCAAGCAATGATGTGGGGTTGATCAGTAGAAATTTTAGGGAGGGAGATTTATGTTTGGGTCTCAACAGGCTCTAGATGATTTTAAACAATGGAACTAGACAAGATCAACTAGGGAATGAGCATAGTGAGACTAGAAAAGAGGTTCAAAGGCAGAGGTCAAGAATACTCCAACATTTAGAGTTTTGAAGGAGGAGGAATAGCCAGCAAGGAATGCTGAGAAGTGACCAGTGAGGTGTGAAGAACACCAGGAAAGGCTGGTATCCTGAAAGTCAAATGAAGGAAATGTATCCAGGAGGATACATTTCATGATCAAATATGTTAAGTGATCTGAGTTTTCTACAATCTTTAGAGATCATGGAATACACTTAATAGCTGGTATCTGAATAGATTTGTATAGTAGTTCATAGCAGCATTTCTCAAAATGTGTTTGTTGGTACAATAATTACATAGGATGTCCTGTGAACAAAGAGTGCAATGATTAATTATGGGCCATGCTGTATGCTAATGCTTCACTCAGAAATTCGTGAGATTAACATTAGTATATTTAAGGCTCTGAGAAGTCCATAGAAAAGAAAGCTGCTACCTTTTTAAAACCAATATGAAATCCCTGCAATAACAAAAAAAAGTTTTGGCTTGGAAACTTGGGGTTTGCTAGGTGTCTTAGTCATTTAAGTTGCTATAACAAACATACCATAGACTGGGTAACTTAAACAACAGAAATGTATTCCCCAGAGTTCTGGAGGCTAAGAAGTCCAAGATCAAGGTGTTTGCAGGTCCAGTGTCTGATGAAAGCCCATTTCTGGGTTTGCAGATGGCCATGAGAGAGGAGGTAGTGGGGAGAAAGTACGAGTGCCAGTGTTCTTCCTCTTCATGTAAGAACATCAATTGTATAATGTAGGCCTCATTATAATTACCTCCCAAAGGCCTCACCTCCTAATACCATCCCACTGGAAGGGCATTAGGGGTTTCAGCATATGAATCTGGAAGGAACACAAACACGCAGTCCATAACACCAGGTTCATAATGTGCCTTAGCCGTTATTCCCTCAGCCTCTATTCCCATTCCTCTATATTATTTGCAAAACAGAACTTAATTGCTATGTGACCATGAGAGCCTGAATAAGAGATATGTACTGATACATCATCCTCTTTCCTGGCAGCACAAATATCCTGCTCTTCCTGCTAATACTAATTGAGCACTTATTATGTACCTGGCTTTGTTTTAAATTTTTTACATTTACTGAGCCCTTTAATTTCCCCAACAAGCTTATAATGCAGGTGTTGTTGTTATGTTATCCCCAATATACAGAAAAGAAAACTGAGACGTAATTTACCCAAGGATGCACAGCTAGTGGGTAACTGGTAGGGGACATTCCAACCTAGGCACTCTTAATGCTGTAATATAGTTCCTTAATGACCCAACATTTAAACTGTACTATCTTAAAGACAATAATAAGAAATGTATAAAATTAAAATACATAAAGGCTTTGGTAATGGATGCATAATCAAAAAGGTTTTTAAAATTTTTGTTCAATTATGACATAATACTTAAAAGTGCATAAATTGGCCAGGCATGGTGGGTGGCTAACCCCTGTAATCCTAACATCTGGGAAGCTAAGGTGGGAGGATCGCTTGAGGTCAGGCGTTGGAGACCAGCCTGAACAAGAGCGTGTGAATTAAAATAAAATTTTAAGGCTCACCCCACCCCCCTTGCTGGCTGACTTAATGGACCCCTTCGTGGCCAAAGGAATATCCCAAAACTAAATTGTCTGTCTGGAGGAGGGAGGTCAGACAAGCCTTATATGCCCCCCTCCCTCCTTGGAGACATCCTTTGTTACCCATTAACAGGCCTAAGGGTATGCAAGACAAACCAGCAGGTCCTCAATTTACACAACAAATCTATGTCTGGTGGCTTATCTCTGAGAACAGCTCCTTCTGTCAAAACATTCCAAGCCTTTAGACAAAGCTTCAAGTCTTTAACCAATTACAATCCAAAGAATCTTCAAACCCACCTATAACCTGTAGGCCTCCCCCCTTCGAGATGGCCCACCTTTTTGGGCCAAACCAATGTATGCCTCCCACATATTGATTTATGACTTCACCTGTAACCCCTGTCTCCCTGAAATGTATAAAAACAAACTGTAACCCAGCCACAGCGAGTCCACTAGCTCGAGGCCTCCTAGCAGTGGCTCTGGGTCATGGTCCTCAAGTTTGGCTCAGAATAAATCTCTTTAAAATTATTTAACAGAGTTTGCCTTTTTTCCATTGACAATTGAGACCCATGTCTACTAAAAGTAGAAAAATTAGACGGGCATCGTGGTGCGCGCCTGTAGTCCCAGCTATTTGGAGGCTGAGGCAGGAGGATCGCTGGAGCCCAGGAATTTGAGGTTGCTGTGAGCTAAGCTGACACCAGGGCATTTTACTCAGGGCAATGGAGTGAGACTCTGTCTCAAAAAAAATATAATAATAGTAATACATAAAATGAAAAGTGCATAAATGATATTCAATTAATTTTCATAAAGTGAACACACTGGTGTAACCATTACCCACATCGAGAAACAGAAAAAAAACCAGACCACTCTTCCCCATCCAGAATCTCCTCTCGTGCTGTTAGTTTCAAAATTCAAAATAAGCATTCACTTATTATTGCGGTGTAAACAGCATTCTATAGTCTATCTCAAACTCTGAGTGAAATGCATTTCCATAGTAATATACTCTTTCTAGAACAGTGATTCTTTAAATGTGGTGTCCAGACAAGCAGCCCTGCATACCTGGGAACTTGTTAGGCTTGCAAATTCAAGGACCCCAAGCCAGATCTACAGAACCGAAACTCTGTGGGTAGAGCCCACCAGTTTGTGATTTAACAAGCTCTCAGGCTGTTTCTGATGCATCTTACGATTGGAGAAGTACCGAGGTGAGTGGGTTGGCACAGTTTTGGTTCTTGATCACGTAGGAACTGTGTTAGATGAATACTACGGTCTGAAAGTGTTAACCTGACTGACAGTGACAAGTTCTAATTACCTCTTTCTGAAGGATGCTACAGGAAAGATGCGTTTCCATTTGAACTAACCATGTTGTCGTTTCAGTCAAGGTTGCATTTTACGAGGAGGATAAAGCAGCCCCCTCCAGTCTCGACTTCTCTCCTTGCCTCGTAGGGGAACCCTCAGTTTACAAACAAAGCCCTCGCTACAGACTGGAGGAGAATTCTAAGTCTTGGCCAATCAGAGGCCAGCTCGAGGCGCTCGCCTATGCTGGCAGTGTGATTGGTTACTTCCCGCCAGCGGAAGCGACTCTTCGCAGCCACGCCCCGCGCCCTCCAGCGGGAGCCAATCGTCGCTCGGCGCCCGAAGAAGCGGAATCCGCGCGAGCGATTGAACATGGCGGAGGGCGCTGCCTCAGGGGCTCTGAGTCTGCGGGGCTGTGCAGACGGGAAGGATGCGGACCCCCCGGAGGAGCGGATGGCTGAAACGGAGGGAGACGACCTGGAGAAGATTGAGTGCCAGGAACTGCTCGAGTTCCAGGTGCTGCTGGGGGCCCCCGAGGAGGGGGAGGAAGCGGGCCTGATGGCCGAGGCCGAGGCTGTGGCTGCGGGCTGGATGCTCGATTTCCTCTGCCTCTCTCTTTGCCGAGCCTTCCGTGACGGCCGCTCGGAGGACTTCCACCGGACCCGCGACAGCGCCGAGGGTGAGGGCGGGGTGCGCCGGGCCACGGGCTGCGCTGGGGGCGGAGGTGGGAACCGCGGCGGCCGGCCGGGGCCTAGTTGCCAGCGCTGTTACCTCAGTGGCCTCGGGGGAGAGGGGCTGCGGCGGCGAATTCGCCGGGGGCCCGAGGCTCTGGGCCGAAATCTGATCGAATCCGGGTTCTGCCTGTTAGCACTTCAGTTTTTCTCACATTCTGGTTTTTTTCTTCTTCTTTGGTTAAGTGAAAATAAGATCCCCGTTTAGGGTTGATAAAAGTAATAAGTGAGTTAAAACGGATAAAATTGCACCCAACCCAATACCCAATTCGTTCTGTCTCCTTTGGCATTTGTGTTTGGTTCTTTCTGCTCAGGTATTCCTGTGGTAATATTCACCAGTAAGTGTAGCCTCCACTGACCTCCAGGCATCAGTGTTTTATGTTAATTTGTGAATTGTTTAAACCTCCTTTGGCCCCACTTGCTCAGTACAGCCTTCAGGATAAAAGTAACTGTCCATGAAATCTGGTTAGACAGTCTATAAGTGATGGACGAAGACATAGACCCATAGAAAAGACTTAGCCTAACCTTTTGAAAGATAACAAAGTGTGCTGTGGTATCTCATTCAGAGGTTGGCAGCAAACTTACTGTACAAGTAAATATTAGAGTATTATATTACTTAATAGAAAGTTCCCAGCCATATTGACACATTTCATCTTCATGATAATTCTGTGAATTAAGCAAATAATCGTAGTTTATAGAAGAGTGAACTAGTTAACCTAAGGTACCTATAGGTTAAAAGGGGTATTCCAGACCCATGCTTTATCTTCCAATTCAGGGACCTTTCCTTTATATCACAGATCCTTGGATAGTACTGGATCCTTGGATAGTTAACATTAAAATAGAAAATTTAATCCTGGAATGAAGCCAGTTCACCATAATTTGGATTAAAAAGTCTGCTTTTGGAAGGAGGCTAGAATTATCTTTGTGATAATGAGTTAGGGTTGGAGACATCAACTCCTTTTTAGTTAATGTAGGAAGAGATAGTTACAGAAATATTTGTATGTTTGGACATGGATTACACACAGTTTCCTTGCTCTGTCAGCTAAAAGGTCACGGAAGCAACCTAACTCTAGTAGCAACCAGTACACCCAGGCTTCCAATATCATTTGCCAGCAGGGCTCTTTGGTGAAATGACTGATGTTGGGATTGGAACAGGAAATATGCAGGATAAACGTGGAGCATTCTGTGGTGCCAGAAAGTAAGAAAGTGCTCAAAAACAACAACAAAGAATACCCCTCAGTAGTGGAGGTAGAGGGTATAGGGACACAGGAATCATCTGCAAGACCTCCCAGTGGCCAAAGTGGAAAGAACTATAGCAAGAAAACACTGTGGTATTGATTTATAACCCAAAGTATAAAATAAATAGCCACGAGTTCATACTGATATAAATAATCAATGGGAGAAGAGGCAAATCTCACATACAGTTAATTCCAAGTAATTTAATGTAGCTACTCTGTCCTCGAGAAGGTAGAGTATAACTCCCCACTCGGGTGTGGGATACACATAGTGACTTTCTTCCAAAGAATACAGTATAGAAAGGGAAAAGAGTAACTGTACTGTGAAGAAAGCTGATACACACTACCTCACCTAGGTGATCAAGGTCAACATCAACAATGAGAGTTGGTAATAGGTACGCTTTATAATAATGTAATGAAAGTGAAACTTTACTGCTATAGTCTTCTTGCCTAGAACGTGTAGTTCCAGTCTGATAATGAGAAAAACATCAGACAAATCCCAATAGAAGGACAGCCTATGAAATACTTGAAATGTTAAGGTCATCAAAATAGAGGAAAGGTCATCAAAATAGAGGAAAATGTTAAGGTCATCAAAATAGAGGAAAGTCTGAGAAACTGTCCTAGCCAACAGGTGCCTAAAGACACAGGATGACTAAATGTAATGTAGTGTGCTTGATGGGATATACCACAGAAAAAGGACATTACATGAAAATTAAGGAAATCTGAATAAAGATGGACTTTAGTTAATAAGATACCAGTGTTGGTACATGAATGTGACATGAACCATACTCATCTAAAATGTTAATAGGAGAAACTATTGCAGGATATTTAGGACCTCTTTTCACAATAATTCCATCAATTGAAAACTGTTCTAGAAAATAGTTTATTTAAAAAAACAAAAAAACCCTTTTGATGTTCTAGCTGAAGACCTGAGGAATAATCTAGGTTACCCCCATTATTTTAAGGTTAAGAGCACAGAAACCCAGGGAGAATAAACTATTTTTCAAGTTGTACTGCTAATCAGTGGCTAATATGCCAATTGTAATTATAGTGTTGTCTTCCTATTCCCATTTTTAACTAAAAGGACTCTTTTTAGTTTTATTGCATTTTATATACTACATTTTTCAAAATTGTAAAAATATGCAACTCTTGATGATTTCTAGAAAATTCTTAGCTTTTTATTCAGACTCAGAATTGTTCTCACACCTTATGGATCTCAGATAATGCCTTTTCCAGACTGTTATTTCTAACATCCCTGCCATGGGAAGCAGTGTAGGATAATGATTAAGAACATGGGCTCTGGAGTAACTTGTCCAAGTTTAATTTTGGGCCCTATTACTTTATAGCTATAAAACCTGTCACAAGACAAAATTACAACAAATTTAGTTTAAAGATCTCACTTGGCTTTATTTCGATTCTAGAATGTGGCAAAACTATCCCATAAAATAGAATCAAGTGTTCAAGTGATTTGAGCGCAGGAGGTTGGTTCTATAGACAAAAAGGACTGAAGAAAGCAGAAGCAAAGAACAAAAAGCAGATTGGTTTCAAAGTTACTTTCCTTGTAAGGGGAGATGGGGAGGAGACAGGGAGACAGAACAATAGGAAGAACTGATTGGTTAATACTAGATTACTTCATTTTGTTGTAAGGATTAAAACGGAGTTTCATTAAATTGAAGATTGAAACTGGCCTGTTTGGGAAATTGGCTGTTAGTTCTCTCTCCTGATTTCTTGGGAGGTCAGGTAACAACTTAGTTTCAGTTCAGTAATGTGGAATTTTAGCATAGGTAACTACATTTTTAGTCTGGTCTCTTGAGGCCTAATGTAGGAACTTAGTCTAAAACAATAGCCCCCTACAGTGTTTGTTTAATGGTTCTGAAGCAGTATTTACTCACTTGGTGCCACATTTGTAAAATGGTGATGGTTATAGTATCTAGGGCTATTGGTAGAAGCTAATGAATTGATAGGTAAATCAAGGTTTTTCAATCTTAGTATTTGACATTTGGACATGTAATTCTTTGTTGTAGGGCCAGGGTTCTCTCTTGTGCATTGTATGATATTTAGCAGCGTTCCTGGCCTTGATGCATTAGATGCCAGTAACATTCAGCTTCTCATTTGTGACAATCAAAAATGTCTCCAGTCATTGCCAAATATGCCTTAGGGAACAAAATCATCCCTAGTTGAAAACAAGTGGTGTAAAGTTCTTAGAGTAGTACCTGGCCTATAGTAAGCACTCAAATATAGTTGTTACTGTTATTTCTAGCTATTAGATCCTCTTTTATGTGTGGGAGGGTCTTTTGGTCAGCAGTATGGGAAAAAGCAGATAGCTGAGATCAACCAGGGCAGGGTTTTCTGTTTTTGTTTTGTAAATAACCTCCCTAGCAAGTACAATTTAAAGAAATGACAGTGATATGTAAGGAATCTATAATTACTGCATAGTAGACTAATTGAATATGAAGGGAAGTGAAAATAAAAAAGGTTTGACTTTCTTCCTTAGAATAGGTCTATCTTTTCTTTTGCTCCTATACTATATAGGCATACCTCTGAGATATTGCTGATTCTGTTCCAGGTTCCAGACCAATACAATAAAGCAAATATCAAAATAAAGGAAGTCACACAATTTTTTTGGTTTTTCCAGTGCATATAAAAGTTGTTTACACTATACTGTAGTCTATTAAGTGTGCAATAGTATTATGTCTAAATATATATATATATGTTAGAGAGTTGGAACCAACTTCTTCCAAACTCCTATTAATGTTGATATTTTTATCTCCTCCCATGAGTCACGAAATGTTCTTAGTGGCATCTAGAATGGTGAATTCTTTCCAGAAGATTTTCAGTTGACTTTGCCCAGATCCATCAGGGGAATCCCTATATATGACGGGTATAGCCTTATGACATGTAGTTCTTAAATAAGAAGATTTGAAAATCCAGATTACTCATCAATCCATGAGCTGCAGAATGGATATCGTGTTAGCAGGCATGAAAACATTCATTTCCTTGTACATCTTCACCAGAACTTTTTGGGTGACTAAGTGCGTTGTCAATGAACAGTAATATTTTGAAAGGAATCTTCCTTTCTTTCTGAGTAGTAGGTCTCAACAGTGGGCTTAAAGTATTTAGTGAACCATGCTGTAAACTGATGCTCTATCATCCAGGTTTTTAGGTTCCATTTCTAGAGCATAGACAGATTTAGCATCATTCTTAAAGGCTCTAGGATTTTCTGGATGTTAAATGAGCATTAGTTTATCCTGAAAGTCACCAGCTGCATTAGCCCCTAATAAGGGAGTCAGCTTGTCCTTTGAAACTTTGAAGCCAAGCATTGACTTCTTTTTTTTTTTTTTGAGGCAGAGTCTCGTGGGTCAGCCTAGCTCACAGTAACCTCAAACTCTTGGGCTCAAGCAATCCTGCTGCCTCAGCCTCCTGAGTAGCTGGGACTACAGGCATGTGCCACCATGCCCGGCTAATTTTTTGTATATATGTTAGTTGGCCAAATAATTTATTTTTTATAGTAGAGACGGGGTCTCGCTCTTGCTCAGGCTGATTTCAAACTCCAGACATCGAGCAATCTGCTCACCTCGCCTCCCAAAGTGCTAGGATTACAGGTGTGAGCCACTGCACCCGGCCTGACTTCTCTATCTATGTATTAAAGTCAAAGATGTCATCTTCCAACAGAAGGCTGTTTCATCTACATTGAAACTGTTATTTAATGTAGCCACCTTCCTCAATGATGTTAGCTAGATCTTCTAGATAACTTTCTGCAGCTTCTACATTAGCACTTGCTGCTTCGCCTTGCACTTTTATGTTATGGAAGCAGCTTCTTAAACCTCATGAACCAATCTCTGCTAGCTTCCAGCTTTTCTTCAGCTTCCTTACCTCTCTCAGCCTTTATGTATTGAAGAGAGTTAGGGCCTTGCTCTGGATTAGGTTTTGGCTTAAGAGAATGTTGTAGCTGATTTGATCTTCTATCCAGATGCCTCAAACTTTTAATAAGGCAATAAGGCCGTTTTATTTTCTTATTATTTGCCTGTTCACTGGAGCAACATTTTTTTTCCATCAAGAACTTTTACTTTGCATTCCCAACTTGGTAAGAGGCCTAGCTTTCTGTCTCACTGTCTCAGCTTTCAACATGTATTCCTCACTAAGTATAATTATTTCTAACTTTTGTTCTTTTTGTGAGGACTTTTTTTTTTGGAGATGGAGTCTTGCTGTGTTGCCTAGGCTAGTCGTGAACTCCTGGGCTCAAGTGATCCCTCCTGCCTCAGCTTCCTGAATAGCTGGGATTACAGGCAGGTGCCACATTGCCCACCTTATTTCTAACTTTTGATTTAAAGTGAGACATGTGTGACTCTTCCTTTGACTTGAATACTTAGAGGCCATTGTAGGGTTATTAATTGGCCTAATTTCAGTATTGTTGTGTCTCAGGGAATAGTGAAGCCCAAGGAGAGGAAGAGGGATGAGAGAATGGCCTGTCAGTGGAGCACTCAGAACACACAACATAAGCTTTCTGTCTTATGTGGGTGCGGTGCAGTTCATGGCACCTCAAAACAATTAGAATAGTAATATCAAAGATCATAGATCATCATACGTAATAGTAGTGAAAAAGTTTGAAATAGAGAATTACCAGGATGTGACACAGAGACATGAAGTAAGAAAATGCTGTTTCAAAAATGGCACCAATAGACTTGCTTAATGCAGGGTTGCCAGAAACTTTCAATTTGTTAAAAAATACAATATCTATGAAGTGCAATAAAGCAAAGTATGCCTGTATTTATCCTTCATTGCACTCATTACAGCTAGCTATATACCTTTTTGTTTAATTTGTGTCTTCTCAGCATAAAACCTTTTTGAGAGGCAGGGACTGGTATCTTATTTCTTAATTCATCAGCTTCTAACACAGCAGTAGATATTTCAATAAATATTGAATGACTTGTGTTTAAATTTTATGTAAATTTTGTACTTTCTTTAAATCCTATTTAATTCTATTATGGCTGTATTCAGTCCAGATAATCTCTGGTATAGCATAAGATTATGGCATTTTAGAATTGAAGAAATGGGCTAAATGTATCTTATCTGCTTAGTGGCTGCAGGATTGCTCTTTGGTTTGCTAGTTATTTAAGCTTTTTATATATACAAATCAAGCTCTGGGTAAAGTATAATGCTAACAGTCGTACCTTAGTGGCTTAGATTAGTATTTCCTTGGAGAAGCCTTCCCTGAAACCTCCTCCTCACAAAAGATAAACACACTCTAAGATTTCTTTGTCATATGCTTCCATAGCATTAGCATAGCCTTCTGTACTTGTCTTTTGCCATTTTCATATTTTTACTTTAGTAGTTCAATCATTTGTCTCTCATTGCTACATGGTAATAAGGTCACTAAGGCCCAGGAACATGGTTTACTCACCATTGTATGTGGTCACTATCTGATACATCTGGGTGGTCATTCAAATATTTATAAGTATGTTTTAAAAATATAGCTTTGGCTGGGCATGGTGGCTCACATCTATAATCCCAGCACTCTGGGAGGCTGAGGTGAGAGGATCACTTGATGCCATGAGTTTGTGAGCAGCCTGGCCAACATAGTGAGACCCCATCTCTACAAAAAATAAATTATTTGGGCATAGTGGCACCTATAGTTCCAACTACTTGGGAGGCTGAGGCAGGAGGATTGCTTGAGACTAGAAGTTGGAGGCTACAGTGAGCTATGACAGTGCCACTCGTACTCCAGCCTGGGTGACCTTGTCTCTAAAAAAAATAAATATAAAAGTGTAGCTTTGTAAACTGAACAGATTCTTAACTGAAACCTTGACAGAAGTAATATAAAATACTGTCTATAATTAAAGAGTTTCAAGGTGTAAAATAAGCTTTCAACCAATAATTTGACACATTTTATAATTTGGATCTTAATCTCCTTTTTTGTTCATATAGAGTGCTACCTGTGAATGTAATTTTTAATATTATTTTGCATGTGAAACATTAGTTATATTTTGCAAGAAAAATGTTCTTTGCTATTTTTGTTCTGATTTTTTAAAAAATTGACTATAAATAAAACATGTAGATCTAAATTTATGATAATTTTTGTGAGATGTTTGTAACCTGTTACTTAACAAACCATACAGTGGCACTATTGAATTAAGTTTGATTTTATTTTAATAAAATTCACTTTTTTATTTTTCAGCTATCATTCATGGATTATCCAGTCTAACAGCTTACCAGTTGAGAACTGTATACATATGTCAGTTTTTGACAAGAATTGCAGCAGGAAAAACCCTTGGTAAATACCTGTTTTTATCTTATATTGGTAATATTTCAATCTATGTCTAAATGTAAGAGAATGAGAAAAACATATGGGAGCTTTTTTTTTTTTGAGAGTTTGCCCACATCTTTCTCAAACTTAATCCTGCTTAAAGGGAGTTCTAAGTTCCTCTGTCCCTTATGAATTTCAGATACAATAGAGTTGGTGTGGGGCCCTGAAATTTATATTTCTAAGTTCCTAGGTGATTCTGATTCTGCTGTTAGGGAACCACATTTTGTGAACTTTATCTTTAAATTTCATTCACTTTAATTTTTTTTTTAAATTTATTTAATAAATTTTTTTCTATATATATTTTTTAGTTGGCCAATTAATTTCTTTCTATTTTTAGTAGAGATGGAGTCTCACTCTTGCTCAGGCTGGTTTTGAACTCCTGAGCTCCAACGATCCGCCCACCTCGGCCTCCCAGCATGCTAGGATTACAGGCGTGAGCCACCACGTCCAGCCTTTAAATTTTATTATATGGTAACTTTGTGGTGACTCCTATTATACTCTGTTTTTTACTGGCAACTATGATACTTGAAACCTTTTTGTTTTTTTGTTTTGAGACGGAGTCTCACTCTGTTGCCTGGGCTAGAGTGCCGTGGCGTCAGCCTAGCTTACAGCAACCTCATGTGTCCCTCCATAGCTAGTATGCGAGTTCCACAAAGTCAGGAACTGTTTCTTCTTTGTTTGTATCCTAAGCACCTGGCACAGGGTCTGGAATATAAAGAGACTTAGTATATGAATCAATATATATTTTTATATCTAAAATTAGAAAAACAATCAGGATTGGACAATAGAAAATAAAGTAAAAATACTTGAAACTGGTTATATTTAAACTTCATGCTCACTTTAGTTTGTCATTTTTTTGTTTTCTGGGTTTTTTTGAGACAGTCTTACTCTGTTGCCCAGGCTAGAGTACTGAGACATTAGCCTAGCTCATAGCAGCCTCAAACTCCTGGGCTCAAGTGATCTGCCTGCCTCAGCTTCCCAAGGAGTAGCTGGGACTACAGGCACACATCACCACGTCTGGCTAATTTTTTCTATTTTTAGTAGCGACAGGGTCTTACTCTTGCTCAGGCTGGTCTTAAACTCTTGACCTCAAGTGATCCTCCCACCTTGGCCTCCCAAAGTACTGGGATTACAGGTGCGAGCCACCGTGCCTGGCTCACTTTAGTTTTTCAAGTAAATAAAAGGATGTGCTATTTAAAATTCTTTTCAGCATACGTATTTGTTGCTTAGTTGCTATGAAACTACAACTGTGCTGGGAAATAGAGGGGTTTCAGGGAATATATTTAATACTAAGTGGCTCCTGTAGCCCAAAATTTGAAAAATAATTATTCATCATAGAGTAAAAGAGTTTTGTAGTTTGTTTGTTTTTTTTGCCTTCAAAACACTTAAAATGCTAATAAGGTTGTTAGGTAAGTATAAGTCTAAAATGTTATAAAGCATAAAAAATAGGAATAGAGATACAAGAGATTTAGGGAAAGGTAATTTCCTAGTTACTTAGCTGGAGTAAGGAAGGCATTCAAGAAAGTGGTGGAATTTGCACTACGCCTGGAAGAATTGCTAGATTTTGTCAGAGAATATAAAAATGACATTCTGATAAAACATGAGCATTATTTGGAAAATAAACTGTAGGTTACCTGGATAGCAGAACTCTTGATTTCCATGCTCAACTTCCTAAACTTGCTCTTCCCCCAGGCTTCCCATGTTGGTAAGTATCAGCACCATTTATCCAGTTAAAACTTGAGAGGTCTCCATTTTGAGAGGTTTCCATTTTTCCTCACACTCTACATGCAATTCATTAGCAAGTCCTGTTCTACATTCAAAATAAGTTTCGAATCAGACATCTACTTAACCTCTTCTGTCTTTCAGATGGCACGTATCTATCTTGCCCACTGTTCTAGCAATGTGACCATCTTTCTGCCCTGTGAACACCAAAGTCTCCTCCTCAGGACCTTACTGCTTGCCGTTTCCTCTGGGATGTCTTTCTTCCAGACCTCTGTGTGATTGTTCCTCACATTATGCTGTTCGTAGCTCCACTGCCACGTCCTCAAAGAGGCATTTCCTTGGCAATCATATCTGAAGCAGCTTTTTCTCCCCACCACCATTCGCGATCCCCAGTACACTTTTTCTTCTTTCTAGCCCTTATTACTCCATTATTTGCTGATTTATTACTCGTCTCTCCCGTGAGCATGTAAGCATCGTTAAGAATGGGGACTTTGTCTCAGCCACTCAGATACTCTCAGTTTTTAGGTGAGTGGTTATACACAGTGAGGGATCAATAAATGCTTAAATGCTTATTGAATGAATTGTAGATTATAGGTGCAAGACATGTAAGACATACATAGTGATATTCTTTTTTGGGGGGGAGACAGTTTCACTCTGTTGCCCAGGATAGGGTGCCATGGTGTCAGCTTATCTCACAGCAACATCAAACTCCTAGGCTTAAGCAATCCTTCTGCCTCAGCTTCTCAAGTAGCTGGGACTACAGGCATGCACTGCCATGCCTAGGTAATTTTTTTTCTATATATTCTTAGTTGTCCAACTAATTTCTTTCTATTTTTAGTAGAAATGGGGTCTCGCTCTTGCTCGGGCTAGTCTCCAACTCCTGAGCTCAAACAATCTTCCCACCTCAGCCTCCCAGAGTGCTAGGATGACAGGCATGAGCCACCACTCCTCGCCCATAGTGAACATTCTTGAGTGCCAGATTGAATTGTTTGTAATTTACTCATTAGTTATGAACTGTTGTCTCTGTTCAGAATAATTTCATCAAAATTGTTTTAGGAAAGCTTAACAGTGTCTCATTAAATAGTCACAAAATCCTGTGAGATAGTATTTATTGTCACCATTTTACAACTGAGAAAACTGAGGTTCCATCTTGAGGTTTTTCACAGTGCAGTTAGACTTACAAACCATTTAAGAATTCTGTTGCTGTGACACCTGATGTAACATACAGTTTAATTTAGTCTTTAAAATCAATATTTTAGTGAAGAAAAGCTTCAAATGTTTTATAATCTTGTCAAGCTTGTTTCCAGTTGAAATTATTCTTAATGAGCAAATTAACTTAGAAAATCAAATCACTTCTCTAAACTGGTATATATGAGAACAGTGCTGGGCACATAGTTTATAGTTAGTAAATATTTAAAGGAATGCATTTTTAAAAAATGACGAAGTAAGGTACTATTTACTTTTCTAAGTTACTTATTTTTGTTCTGTTTTAAAAGATGCACAGTTTGAAAGTGACGAACGAATTACACCCTTGGAATCAGCCCTGATGATTTGGGATTTAATTGAAAAGGAGCGTGACAAACTTCATGAAGAAATACAGAATTTAATTAAAATTCAGGTATGAATATTACTTTGTGCTTATAATTATTACTTTGCTAGAAAATAAAACCATTTAACATCCAAAATAAATTAAGAGGAACCTAATGGAAGTTGGACAGTAATAAAATTCAATATAATCTTTTTCTCTAGAAATTTGACCTTTGGTTTATAGTCTTGACAGGAGCACCAGGGGCTGAAACTTAATGTTTCATACTTAGATGTATATTGCCCCCTTGTTGCGAAAAATATATTGCATCTATTTAAAGATCAAGCAACCTTCAAAAACCCAGGGTTTGTGCTCTCCCAATTTCTATTTAAAGATTATAAATATGAAAAAAGACAATATTTTTAATTAGTAAAGTTTTATATTTTTATGATCAAGAATATGTAAAAATTTAACCAAGCAGAGAGAATTTTAGTAGACTATTTCAGAGTGAGAAGCTAAAAACATCATTCAAAGATGTAATAACAGGGAAAATGTTTTGCTGCTAGCAGTCAAAGCAAATATTAGTTTATGTAACTTTCTTAGTTAAATAAACTCATTTATTTAGAATTTTAAAACATTTTTTATGGGTTGGGTAGGAGAGAAAACCCAGGTGGTTCCCCATCTTCCCCAAAATTAATGTGAGTTTCAAGTAGAATTAGGACCTGAAGAGAAGAGAATGAGCAGACAAATGACTGCTGCTTTTAAGAATTCAACCCAGGGCAAAAAGATTTGTCATGTTGTCCTAATTTGGGGGGGGAGGTGGCTCTAGACGAAGCAGGCCATTGTTAGTATAAAGTTGAAAGGATAAAAATAAAGTTTATAGCAAACATTTAATATATCACTTACTATTTGCCAGGCACTGTTCTAAGCACTTTCACATATAACTCTTTAAATTCTTATAACAATCTTGTGAAATAGGTACTATGTTTACACCATTTTATACATAAGGAAACTGAGGGACCAAGTGGTTAAGTAGCTTGCCATGTTTATATAGCTACCCAGATGGTAATCGTGGTCCCAAATTGTACCACGTACAGTATCAGAAGCCAGTGTGTGAAATCATTGAAAAGCATCTAGGTTCTAGGTTTCTATTAGTGATTTTCCAGGGATCCTAACTAGCAGATTTTATATATCCTAATCATCATAAACACCATCTGTCTCCTCTCTCACTTCCCTTTTTATTCAAAATTAATATTTAGGTGGGTCCTAAATGTATATAGTATAGCTTCTAATTTATTTTTAAATGCCTGTTAAGGCCTAAATTAGAGATAGAATGCTGAACATTTATTAGTACATATGTGTAAATATGCATGGGACCAGTGAAAATTTTTCATGTCTTTTCAAGTCATAGTTACTTCATTTTTTTAAAAGTATGTTATATTATTTATCAAATCAAAATTATTAAATTATAAAAATGTTTTAAATGAGGTATTTTAGACTTATCCTAGTTATTTCAATAATTAAACAGTTATTAGATATTTTAAAAAACAGTCTAAGGTATATATGTGTCACCTTCTATTTTAGGCTATAGCTGTGTGTATGGAAAATGGCAATTTTAAGGAAGCAGAAGAAGTCTTTGAAAGAATATTTGGTGACCCAAATTCTTACACGGTAATTGTTTAAATTAAAACCGGGGAATTTTAGCACTATTTATATGGAATGAGGAAAACTGAAAGAAAATTGGAGGAGAAAAGGAAATACTTTCTCTTTTAAACAGTACAGAATAATACGGTGCAAAAGAAATAATAGTGTAAATCACATATGTGATTTAAAATTTTCTAGTAGCTATAGTAAAGTAGAAAGAACAGGTGAAACTAATTTTAATAACATTTTATTTAACCCAATACAGTTGTCTCTCACTATTGATGGGGGATTGGTTTTAGGACACCCAAGGATACCAAAACCTGTGGATTCTCAAATGCCTTACCTAAAATGGCATAGTACTTGCATATAACATGCATATCCTCCTATATATTTTAAATCATCTATTGATTACTTATAATACCTAATGCAAGGTAAATGCTGTGTAATTAATTATACTGTACTGTTTAGGGAATAATGACAAGGGAAAAAGTCTTATATGTTCATTACAGATGCTTATTTTTATTTTGTTTTTTTAAGTATTTTTCATCTGCCATTGGTTAAATACACAGATGCAGAACCCACTGATATGAAGGGATGACTATATATTTAAAAAATTTATTTTAACATTAATGAATATAAAAAATTGAGATATTTTACATTCTCTTTTTGTACTAAGTTTTCAAAATCTAGTGTGTGTGTGTATTTTATACTTGTGGAACATCCAAATTCAGACTATCCACATTTCAAGGACTCAATAGCCACATGGAGCTACTAGCCACCATATTGGGCAGGTTTGACAGAAAATATTACAACTTGGCTTATTTTTCTGAATGATTTTTCATGTGATCATTGTTAGTTTTTTTGTGTGTGGAATGTTAAAATCAATGGATCTTACATTTTTAAATATTAAAAACAAAGTGTTACTGGAGTGAATTAAGCTTATTCAAAGAAAGAAAATATGTTTTTTTAATGAATTTATTTTAAGAGATGGGGTCTTGCTATATTGCCCAGGCTGGCCTCAAACTCCTGGGCTTAAAGGATCTGTCCACCTCAGCATCCCAAGTAGACTTTTTTTTTTTTTTTAGGTAGGGTCTCACTCTGTTGCCAGGTCTGCAGTGCAGTGGCATCATCATAGTTCACTGCAGCCTCAAACTCCTGGACTCTATCACTCTGTTCCAGGCTTTAAAAAAACAAACAAAAAACTCACAGGCTCAAGCAATCTTCCTGCCTCAGTCTCCCACAGTGTACATCACTGTTCCCGGCTAATTTTTTCTGTTTTTTATAGAGACAGTCTTGCTATGTTGCTCAAGTTGGTCTTGAACTCCTGGCCTCAAGCGATCCTCCCACCTCAGTCTCTCAAAGTGCTAAGATTATAGGCATAAGCCATTGTACCCAGACAGGGTAGGATTTTTGAATGAACTTTTTATTGAACAATAGTATACCCCTGGAAGAGTACATGCCACAAGTATGTAAGTAAGTGCATTTTCAGTAAAGGAGCATACCTGTGTGACAGGCCTCTAGATCAAGAAACAGAACCTCACCAACATCCTCCAGTCACTTGAAAAAGTGGTTACCTTTTCAAGGGTAACCACTGTCCTGACTTGTACCTCCCAGACTGGTTTTACTTGGTTCTGAATTTATATAATGGAATTATAGCATGTTTATATTTGTAAGATTGATTCATGTTGTTGCTTATAATTTATCCATTCTGTTGTTGGTGGAAATTTCAGTTATTTCCAGTTTGGGACTGTAACATCCCTTTTCTTTAAAGATGCAGTTGTACTCAGAAGAAGTAACATCCTTTTCTATGTCTTTTGTAGAACAAATGTATGCATTTCTATTGGATATATTGGATATATACTTAGGAATAGAATTGATGAGGCATAGGATACGCACATATTCAGTTTTAGTAGATACTGCCAAACAGTTTTCCGAAGTAGTTATGCTGATACCTCTAGTAGTAGGAGAGTTCCAGTGGCTCCACAGACCTTTTGTCTGTGGTTTTCATTTTAGCCATTCTGGCAAATATGTAGTGCTGTCACATTGGGTTTTTCTGTTTTTTAATTTTTTAAATTTAATGTAATTTTTTTTTTTTTTTTGAGACAGTCTCATTCTGTTGCCAGGGTTAGAGTGCCGTGGCGTGAGCCTAGCTCACAGCAACCTCAAACTCCTAGGCTCAAGCAATCCTTCTGCCTCAGCCTCCCAAGTAGCTGGGACTACAGGCATGCACCATCATGCCCAGCTAATTTTTTCTATTTTTGGTAGAGACGAGGTCTCACTATTGCTCAGGTTGGTCTCGAACTTCTGACTTTGATCCATCCGCCATCTTCGGCCTCCCAGAGTGCTAGGATTACAGGTGTGAGCTACCTCGCCCAGCCCAATTTTTTCAATTATGACAATTTATGTAATATATGACAAAATTTCTTGTGTTTATAATTTTATTTGTATGATTTATGTTAATATATTTCTTAATATATATTATGTTTTCTTTAGCCTTTAAAAAGGAAATTGCTTATGATAATCTCTCAGAAAGACACATTCCATTCCTTTTTTCAACATTTGAGCTTCAACCACATGATGGAAAAAATTAAGACTTACGTGAATCAGGTGCTAAATGAAAAGTCATCAACCTTTCTAATGAAGGTATACATATTATTTCGGATTGACTCTAATAACAGACTTAAGAGAAATTGTTACAGTAAAGGAGAAAACTTGAAATAGAAATCCTTAAAAATTAACCAGAATTTTGTCTAGTGATTTTGTAGTAGAATATGATAAAATGTTACAATTAGGGAACCTAATTAAAGGGCTTATGGGTGATTTTTATAGTGTTTTTGCAACTTTTCAAAATTAGAGTTGGGGAAATTTTTCAAAATAAAAAATTGAGGGAAAACTTACCAGAATGAATTAAATAAGAAAAAGAAGTAAGAAAAAGCAAAATTTAGTTTTAAGTAAATTTTAAATTTTTAAACATATTTTTGGGGAAAAGTAAAATTGGATTAAAAAGGATCTCTTAAAATTTTTTTTCTTTTTAAATGAAAATAAAAACAGACAAATAATTAGCAGCACCAATTGATTTAAAAACAAGACTCTATATTCCTGTTCAAAATGTATAACCTGAATCTAATTATAAGGAAATATCAGAGAAAAACAAATTGAAAGATATCCTACAACATGACTGGCCGGTATTCTTTTTTTTTTTTCTTTTTTCCTCCAGGACCAGTTGTCCAGGAAAGAGAGGCCACCATAAGGCCAATCTGAGGTCCCAAGGAGATCATTTTTCTCTCTCCCCATTATGAAAGTCACACAGATAAAGCCAAGTATGACTATGCAGAATTAAGAGAGTTAAATGTTTTTAAATAACATTTTATTCCCTGTCCTGGCCTCAAAAAGATTTAAGTTAATATGTTGTTATAGTAGAGTGTCTGATTGATTCAAGTTAGTTTTATTTCAAGATATCTAGAAGTTTTAATTGAATTTTTTTTTAAGTAGCATCTTATCTCAAAATTGCCTAGAGAGCATTGTATTTGTCAAGTATATTCACAAGCAAAGAACCTCTCCCTAATGCTTATAAACCAAGCAGGTGGCTAAAGTAGCTTCTGGTGGTATCATAATTATTTGTGAAAATAACAATACAGTGTCCTTTATTGGTCTGTGAGCAGATACTTTGGCTATGACTATCAAAGAATTAGAAGGCTTAATTTAATGCTATTTATATTTAAAATGGCTTACTGCATTTCTTCCTATCTCCCCACCCCTTTCACACACACCCTTTTTTAAGGCAGCAGCAAAAGTAGTGGAAAGTAAAAGAACAAGGACAGTAACTTCTCAAGATAAACCTAATGGTAATGATACCGAAATAGAAACTGAAGCTAATTTGTATACAAGAAAAAGGTTTGTAAATTCATTTATTAATATATTCTTTGTCTTATCAATGTTCTGTCTTTATGTAAAAGAGCCTATAGCCAATGAGCCTATATTATTAAAAATAATTTGAGTACTGGGTATCTCACTGATGATTAACATTGGGATATTTGGAGTACTGTAGAGTAATTTTATGACCTATGCAAATTATATATGCTAAGCAAAAGTAAGAAAACATAGTTTAAATAATGTGGGTAATTTCATTTACTACTCTCACTGAGGGTGTGCTCAGGAATGAGGATGAGATTGTAAACCTGAATTGTCTGTGCCCCTTAATTGTTCTCAGATTCCACATACCCTCATTATATGCCTCATTCTGTTTCACTGTACTAAGAGTTAATTCTAGTTTTTTTAAGATAGTGATAATTCATGTATCTTTTCTATGGGTAAGCTGACGAGATTTGCTCCAGTGCAGGAAGGAAATTGGTTGTGTTGGTCCTACATACTGAGAGACATTAGTTCAGTCTCCAAAATTATTTTTTTCTTTTGGGCTTTTTCAAGAGTGATCTTTACCTTTTGCTTTAGAAACTAACCCTATTAAGGAAGATACAACTCTATTATTATAAAGGTCTTCTTTTCTATTGAACCTGTGGTCTGTTCCCTGTTATTCCACTCACCCAAGCTAGGTAGTCAAATCCCTGTGGTCTCCTGGATGGATGTATTTGGCAGTGGATGTAATATTGTTACTTCTTTGACTTGAGTGCTGCAGGGACCCCATCTTAACTACTTACTTAGAGGTGGGGATTGGGGTCCAACTTGGATTGAAGTTCAGTAGTCCCTCGTATTTTTCCTGCCTTTAAGTGCGTGACCTCCTCCCTGGTATATCTCCCCCAAAGGCTGTACCCGGCGTCTTATTTTTTCTAAAACCCATTTTGAGAAGTAGAGATTCAATTTTTATTGGCTCAGTTGCTGCATTTTGTTTAGGAAATCAAAGTTTAATGATACTAAGGCTCCCACTACATTCTGGTGACCAAATCATACTGCTCAGTGTATACTGCTATAAGATAAAAACTTATACCATGGATCTTACAGATAATGAGCACATTTCCTATGTACTCTCCTATGTTATACCACCTGCTTATTTCAAATACTCTCCTAGACACAGACACAGTGCAATCAGTGTGTATAAAACAGAACTGATTGTCATTCTCATCTGCTACTCTGCACTCTAAAACTTTCCTCACATAACCAGTTGTCTCTCCAGGTATTAAGAAGCCCATCTCAGAAATGCTTCTCCAATTCATTCTTATCATTTCTATCCTAGATTATTACATAGCTTTGTACCACACAAATCTGTCCTTGACATAACTTCCAGAGTTAGCTTCCACAAAAATAAATCTGTTTAGATCACTTTCCAGCTTAAAAACTTCTTGGCTACTATTTTCCTACTAGATGAATCAGAATATATTGGCATAGCTTACAAAGCCTTACATAGCCGTGTGCCATTTTTTTTCATATAAAATCTCATCGCTAAACATTAACCCCTCCCTGCCCATATACATGGTACTTTCTAGCAACACAGAATTACTCCCTGATCTTAAAAATATAAGTTTTCACACCTCTACTTTTGCTTAGTTCCTTCTATTTTGAATTCTCATCTTTTTATTCTCTCCAAGGCAAGCTCTTATTTGCAATTCAAAGTCTATCTCATAAATCACCTATGTGAAGTCTTGCCTGGCTCTCTGATCAGAATTGTCACTTGTGTGCTCTCATAGTACCAAGTCATACCTCTCTAAAAGGACTTATTTTGGATAGTAACTTGTCTGTTCACCTGTCTATATCTCTTACTAAATTAGAATTCTTCGAAGATTCTTAATTAGCTTTGAAGCATCTTAATTAGCTTGATGGCCATGTGCCTTGTTCATTACCACACATACATTAGAATTTGTAGTGCAGTAGTTACAGGAAGCAAAACTGAAACAACAGCCAGGGTAAAGATCAAGAATCAAGAAAAGGCCGGGCGCGGTGGCTCACACCTGTAATCCTAGCACTCTGGGAGGCCGAGGCGGGCGGATTGCTCGAGGTCAAGAGTTCGAAACCAGCCTGAGTAAGAGCGAGACCCCGTCTGTACTATAAATAGAAAGAAATTACTTGGCCAACTAATATATATAGAAAAAAATTAGCTGGGCATGGTGGCGCATGCCTGTAGTCCCAGCTACTTGGGAGGCTGAGGCAGTAGGATTGTTTGAGCCCAGGAGTTTGAGGTTGCTGTGAGCTAGACTGACGCCATGGCACTCACTGTAGCCTGGGCAACAAAGCGAGACTCTGTCTCAAAAAAGAAAAAAAAAACGAATCAAAACCATCCTGGAAGCAGAAGTGGGGCTAATGAAACATGAAATCACCAGTATCGGGACAGCAACCAACAAGATGTAAGTGAAGTAAGCATAGAATCAGAAGTATGATTGTTTTGCCAGAATGGTATAAAATAAAGGGAGGAAATGTGATTGTGAGAGTCAGACAAATGCTAGAAAAATTGAAACCCTCAGGTTGTCAAGACTAGACAAAATAAATAGTGTGCTTTGATAGAGCTTGTACAGTTGTCCGTTAGTATCCTATGGGGATTGGTCCAGAAATGTGCTATTTGCATATAACATGTACCTCTTCCCATTTACTTTAAATCATCTCTAGATTAAGTAATCTAATAACACCTAATACAATGCTGAAAGAATTGAGATGGACAGCTTCAGGGAGATATTAGTGTTGAGCAGGACATTGAAGGATGGTTAAGCTTGTTATAGATGGATGGAAGAGCAAATATCATTTTAGGAGAAAGGACTGGTACCAGTGAAAGTGTGGAGGTGTAAGTGGTCATGCTGTGTTTGTGGAAGCTGTTGTAACTACAGCAAAGGGTATTTTATTCAATTCCCAGAAGTTCCATTGGAGACTGGGGAAGACAATAAATTAAAATTGAACTCACCAAATTGTATACATTAAACGTATAGTGTTTTTTGTATATCAGTTATACCTCAGTAAAGCCGTTTAAAAAAAAAAGACTTGAATTCATGGGAATAAAGAGCCATGGAAGAGTTTTTGAAAGAGTGATATTATGAATGCTTGACTACAGCATTAACTATGCTTAACTTATATTTGGAGAAGCTTGATTTAATATCTCTTGTAAGCACATCTGTGCAAAAATTAGCCATGTTGTAATGCACTATGTTTTAGAATTTCTTTCCAAATATATTTTTTATAAATTAAAATATGACTTGACTATGTGGAAAGTACTATCCTTAAGAAAAGTTTCTTTTGTTTATATTCTTACAAATTTTTTTTTCTTTTAAAGTGTTAGTGACAAACAGTCTGCGGTAACTGAATCCTCAGAGGGTACAGTATCCTTATTGAGGTGAAGTAAATTGATATTTTTCTTCTCTTTCAAATCTTTGATTGAAGCAATTCATGCAGACCTAAATATGTTATAATAACTACCACACAAATGATATTATTTAAAGAATATTGCAGGGTCCTACTTAATAATAGGTGTTCAAGACCCTGACATATCTTGAATTTTAAAGTGCAGAGATCTGCTTCTGGGAACCTGGGTTGTTTCACATTGTTTCTACAAGGCCATTATTAGAGTACACACATAGGGAATACATAAGCTTAAAGCAGATGTTTTGTAGCCTCCTACTTTATCATAGAAACAAAATTATATTGCTGGGGCAGGAAGGGGATGGGAATTACATTTCTGATGAATGTCCAATTTGTTAAATTATTTGAAAATCCCCATTTGATCTATTAGAAATGCTGTGACAGACAATATAATATGTCCAGAGAGCAGATACTCTGCATGAGTAATTTCAAAGATAAAGCAGTTGGGACCACGAGTGGAACATTGGGAGGGAGTAGCTGACTTGGGTGTGGAGGTCGTCACTGGACGTGAGGAATTGAGAGGCCAGGATGTTATATGAGTTGTCCACAATAACACTGAAATAATTTATTGCAGGACTTAGGTGTAGAGACAGATCTGTGAATGATAGGAAGTGTTTGGAAGGATAGTGAATGGCTGTGAAGCATAATAGAAGGTGATATATCTCAGTGACATGAATCCTCAAGGGCCAGGGTTTCTATGGAAGCAGGATTCTGAAAGTGGCATTCATTGGGAAATGAAGACTACCACCTTTGGGTTTTGGTGCTTTGGTTTTTTGAGGGTGGAAGATTAAATCAGTCACTATTTGAAAAGACCTCAAAAGAGAGAAATGTTGTCTTTAGGGGAGAGCTAGATTTTACACAAGGCAAAGAGGTAGAGGAACTGAAGAATGGCATCCAGAAAGCACAATAGGAAGTTTTGGGAGGGAAGGAGGAAGGGAGTGAGAAAGAGAAGAGAATAGGACTCTTCTAAGGAAAGGACTAGCTGGTAGCATAGAATACTTGTAGGAATAAAAGAATAGCTAAAAGAGCCTGTATTTTAGGTAGAAATAATTGATATAGCTTCCTAAGCCTAGGCAAACTGCATTTTGAGTCCTAGTTTTCTACTTAATAAAATTAGAATAACACCAGCTTTGTGATATTGTCAAAATTATGCCACATCCTATAATTCCAAACAGCTTTACCTTTCAAAAAAGTTCTTTTTGGAAGCTATAAAGGTAATCAAGTGATCTCTGCCATCAGCCATCATATAAAGGAATTTTCAAATTTCTCTTTGGGGAAATGAACTTAGAAGCCACAGGAGAGAATAAAGTTAACACTTTGTAATTTGAAGGTTTTTTTCTCTTGATCTGTCTAATTGGAAGGCCAAGAGAGTCTTGATTTCTGAGTAGATGCCATAGAGAAAATAAGAGATGGGAGAGAAGGAAGTCTGACAACAGAAAGTTTAAGAGGCTGAAGGTTAAAATGGGGCATTAGTAAGAAGAGCACCAAAAGAAGTAGGCCAAAGTGTTATAGAACACCCTAGAACAAATTTAAGACAAATCATCTAACTTGTTTTCATAGCTTTACTAATCTTTCTGGAACCAATCACAAGCATTCATGTTTTATTTAGGTCTCACAAGAATCTCTTCTTATCTAAGTTGAAACATGGAAGCCAGCAACAAGACCTTAATAAGAAAGAAGAAAGAGTGGGAACTCTTCAAAGTGAGTAATCATATTACAATTTTAGACAAGTGGAGAGGTGATGTGTCTTCAAACAAATAGCAGCTTGACCGCTTACCAGTACAATACCGCAAAAAACGACACTTCAGAAAACTGAAGCAGCGAGGCTGTAGATTCTAGTCTCTGGAGCTGAGGCGAGGAGGATCGTTTGAGCTTGAGGAGTTCAGAGACCAGCCTGGAGCAAAGCGAGATCTTATCTCTACTAAAAACAGAAAAAAAATTAGCCGGGCAACTAAAATAGAAACAAAAAATTAGCCATGTGTGGTGGCAAGCACTTGTAATCCCAGCTACTCAGGAAGCTGAGGCAGGAGGATTGCTTGAGCCCAGGAGTTTGAAGTTGCTATGAGCTAGGGGTGATGCCAACAGCGATCTACTCCCAGCAACAGAGCAAGACTGTCTCAAAAAAAAAGAAGACTAACACACAAAGAAGTTAAATGTATTGACTCTTAGAGTTAATTAAGTTGTTGGTTGATTTAGAAAGTTAGGTATTCTAGCTGCCTAGCTTAGAGTTCTTTTCTATTGGTATGATCTACCTTAACTGTATTTGGTTACTTCAAATACAGTCATGTGCTGCATGACAAGTGCTTTAGTAATTCATTAATAGTCAGTGATGCCACATGTATGACACCGGCTCCATAAGAATATAATGGAGCATATATGGAAATCTGATATATGACACTTGATATTGGCATTGCAGATTAAGTAGGGGAAATGATTGCTATTTAGTAATGGTGCTGAGACACCATTTCTGTTTTCATGATTTTTGCCAAAAAAATAAATATGCATATACCACCTAGGTTGGTAATACCTCGTATGATGTTCACAATGAAATCACCTAGCAATGCATTTCTCAGAACATATCCTTATTAGTAAGCAAGGCAAGACTATGGTTACTTTTCTGAAACATAAATACAGTTATTTCTCATTATTCATAGTAGTTAGGTTCTGTAAAGTCTAGGAACATTGAATTAGCAAATACTAAATCATTACTCCTAGGAGAAATTCAGGGTTAGGTTCCTGTGAGTTTCTGGCCCCAGCATTTTTGTGAACTGATCAATACATAACCTTGTTTTATGTGTGTTTCTGTTTAAAGACACTTTATTTAATATACATGGTTGACTCTTTATTTTTTATTTTTATTTTTTTTTGCAATCACACAAGAGGAGGTTTATTTTCTGGCTAGCAGGGTCCAAGCCCCAGAGCACCAACGCGCGAGTGGCCACTCACAGGCAAGGGACCCCGGATGGAACTACGGCCATGCTATTTATCCCCATGGGCACAAGCTGCCACAAGCTGACTAGCATGGATATGCGGTTGACTTTAAAATGATTGGTTGCCCACTATTGCTTTGAAATAATTGGGCGGGTTTGTTGCCTCTATTGCCTGATGGGCCAGTCGGCCGTGCTTCAATGAAACTCATCCTATAATCCCCGCTCATCGGTGTAGCAAGGCAAGCAATGACCAGAAGCAAAAGTTTGCAGTACCTCATTGCCCACACTGAGTTCTGACAATTTGGAAGAAAATTCCTCTGCTCTCCTACATCTGCCTTCCTGCCCGCCTACGGATTCCCCCCTTTCTCTAGAACTAGCAGACAAGCACTCTTGCTCGTCCTTAAGGTTCTTAGCGGTGCTCTAGTGTCTATAGACTTGACTGTAGCTGCTGTATTGTTGTTTGCAATACTAGTAAGCTGGACGAGTGTTATCATTCTTGTTAATAAATGTCACTAGTCTTTTTAACGTAACAAGGCCACAGCGGTGAGGACTAAGAGTCAATATTATATGAGTGGGCCTAGTAGGGTAGATATCAGCGTAGTTAACCAAGGGGAACTGTTAAACCAGGACTCAAACCAGCCTGCTTGCTGTTCCTATTCGCATTTGCAGCGGGCAAGCCCTTCTCTGACCTTAGCCATAGATTTTCTAACAACTCCCGTATGGTATGCATTGAAACAACATTCTTCTCTGAGGGCAGCACACAGTCCTCCTTGTTGGAGGGACGCTAAATCTAACCCCCTCTGGTTCTGGAGTATTACCTAGGACAAGGAGGATAGAGACTTTTTTTAGGTGTGAGATTGACTCTTCTATCCTTGCAATATCTTCATCAATAGCTGCCCTTAGAGTATTAAACCCTTTTTGCTGCATTGCCAGAGAAGAGATACCAGTTCCTGCTCTTATTGCCCCTAAGCCAAAAAGAGTAGCCAGGGTTATGGCTGTGAAGGGCTCCCTTTTTCTTTCAAAAATTAGGTTTGTGACTCTTATTAGGTTACAGTCCTCAGCATACCTGTCTTTGGTACAAGGTTGGACATAGGACATTTCAACAAGTAGAGGTTGCACCTGCCATTTCCACTCCCCGTCATTTGCGGTTACACAGTCCCACTTAGCACAATAATGATTAACAATTTCTCTGCAACGGCGATTGTCTTTTGGGGATCAGAACCCCGGGCATGCAAAAAAACCATTTCTGGTCATGGACACTTGCCTCTGTTGTTTTCTCCCTTCCTCTGGTGTTTCCTCTAGATCGCTCACTTTGTCTAGATTGAAATATAAGTCTGGCCACAAGGTGTTGAGCGGTGCCGTCCCTGAGGTCATGTTCTAAACCTCATGGGTTTTTAGGTTGATAATTTCCCATGTCAGATTACGAAGCTCATGAGGATTTGGGGCAGCTATGGTTGGAAAACTCCCTCCCAAGAACAATAGGCCAATACACCACCCGTATAGCAAACATAAAAAGTTACCAAGACGCATTTTTGCAATTTAGTCCAGTTTTGTGGTGCCACTACTCTTAGTCCAAGTCCCAGGAGAACAAGCAGCAGCCCGATGACAATTTGTGCCAACAGTCCCATCTAGTTCCTCTTCTTGGAGGGGCTCTGGTCCGTGGCGGTCACGCGGGTCAGTCTGGTTCTTAATGGATTCTTCGGGTCTGCAATCGCTTTCCACTGGTCCTGGCACCGCTCCTGGTCCTTTTATTATTA